AACCAGAGGTACCACTGTACACCGATCCTGGTCTGACTGCACTGGCTACCAGTTAGTTTCCAAGCCCAATTCAAAGTGCTGAGCCTAAAATGGCTCAGGACCGCAGTACCTCAAGGACCGCCTCTTTCCATATGAACCTCCCTGGACCCTGAGATCATCTTCTGAGGCGCTTCTTTGTGTGCCGCCTCCTCGAGAGGTCCGGAGGGTGGTAACATGAGAACGGGCCTTCTCTGCAGTGGCTCCCCATCTGTGGAATGCTGTCCCCAGGAAAGTTCGCCTGGTGCCTTCATTATACATCTTTCGGCGTCAGGCAAAATCATTTTTTTTAAACCAGGTCTTTGGTTGATCTGATTGACATCCTGTGCCCTTTTAAAATTTGGCTCTTTTTTGCAGGAGGGTTGTTATTGGGTTATTTTTTTCATTTTGATTATATGTATTGTGGTTTTTATGTTGCTTCTTTCTGTGAACCGCCCCGAGACCTCCGGGTATAGGGTGGTATATTAATATAGTGGTACCTCGGGTTACATACGCTTCAGGTTACATATGCTTCAGATTACAGACTCTGCTAACCCAGAAATATTACCTCAGGTTAAGAACTTTGCTTCAGGATGAGAACAGAAATCGTGCAGCGGCAGCGCAGCGGCAGCAGGAGGCCCCAGTAGCTAAAGTGGTGCTTCAGGTTAAGAACAGTTTCAGGTTAAGAACAGACCTCCAGAACGAATTAAGTACTTAACCTGAGGTACCACTGTAATAATAATAATACAGTCATACCTCGGGTTACAGACACTTCAGGTTGCGCGTTTTCAGGTTGCGCACCGCGTCAAACCCGGAAGTCCCAGAATGGGTTACTTCCAGGTTTCAGTGCTCACGCATGCGCAGAAGCACTAAATCATGCTTTGTGCATGCGCAGAAGTGCCGAATCGCAACCCGTGTGTGCGCAGATGCGGCGCTGCGGGTTGCGAATGCTGTGGGTTGCGAATGTGCCTCCCACACAGATCATGTTCGCAACCCAAGCAATAATAATAATAATAATAATAATAATAAGAGTAATAATATATCAATGCTCTTTTTTTCAGCCAGAGTGTGCTAGAGTGTAGACCCTGCACCTCTCAGGTGGGTGCCTATTGCGGTCCAGCACTCCCCCTGCATGCTTCTTGCCTTTACATACATCTGAGAAGCCCAAAACAAACATTTCAACTTCATGGTGAGTTCCGGCACCTATTGTTCTTGGGGGGGGGGAAGCACTGGCTATTACCCACAATGCCTATGTTTTACCTACACTGTCAAAGGTGTTGCGCCTCTGAATCCTGGTTGCTGGGAATCACAAGTGAGGAGAGCACTGTTAGACTCTGGTCCTGTTTGGGGCTTCCTGTAAGCATCTGGTTGGACACTATGAGAAGAGGATGCTGGACCTGATGGAAGGAACCAACAGGGATCTTCTCATGTTCTCAGTTCTCCAAGTGCCAGGCCTTATGCAACAAAAATGACAGCATCCACACACAAGGGGGCATCATTGGGCTCAAAACTTTGCAGAAATATTTTAAAATAAATATTTACAGGGTTTGTGGGGAGCTCTCAGGATAAACCTGAAACAACAACCTGATGAAGACTAAGCATCCTTAGCAAGCACGGGATGCTGCTATTGGAGGGGGTGGAACAGAAAAGATGGAAGGCTGGATGTAATAGAGTATCCTGGGAAAGGGCGTGGCTGGCTAGAACTCTGAATAGCAGAACTGCCGATTGAAGGCCCCCACTTGTTACAGGAAATTGTTTCCCGGTGGGCACCCGGAAGCCACAGCCGAAAACAGAATGCTAGATGGATGTAGGCATGATCCAGCAAAGAAATAACTATGCTCTTGTGTTTATTTTATGTTTGTTTATCTGTATAACTTATATCCCGCCATGTGACAGAACTGAGCCCTCAAGGTGGCTTGCAACAGTAAAACTGCAAAATACAATAAAACCATGCATAAAACCAGAAAGCAGTTAAACAGCGGGAGGGGGGGGACTGAATACTGCTCAGGCACAAGATGTACCATTCTAAAAAACAATCCATTCCTCCGGAAAAACCTGGTGAAACCAAAAAGGGCCTTAGCTAACTTCCTCATGTTCTTCCAACCTGTTAAAATTAGCTGTAGGGGAAGCGTGTAATTAAGTTTAAGAAATATTTTCGGAGTCTAGAACACAAAGGCCCAACGAGGCATGTCTTTATTCACATCTTTAGTCCTGGGAAACAAATGTGTTCTTGGTGGATTTGTTGTTTGTTTCCGTTACTAAATCACCGGCATGGAGGGATGAGCCTGAGAAGGACCATGGCATGCTGGGAAGGGGCCCTTTTGTTGTTGTTTAGTCGTTCAGTCGTGTCCGACTCTTCGTGACCCCATGGACCAGAGCACGCCAGGCACTCCTGTCTTCCACTGCCTCCCGCAGCTTGGTCAAACTCATGCTGGTAGCTTCGAGAACACTGTCCAACCATCTCGTCCTCTGTCGTCCCCTTCTTCTTGTGCCCTCAATCTTTCCCAGCATCAGGGTCTTTCCAGGGAGTCTTCTCTTCTCATGAGGTAGCCAAAGTATTGGAGCCTCAGCTTCAGGATCTGTCCTTCCAGTGAGCACTAAGGGCTGATTTCCTTAAGCATGGATAGGTTTGATCTTCTTGCAGTCCATGGGACTCTCAAGAGTCTCCTCCAGCACCATAATTCAAAAGCATCAATTCTTCAGTGATCAGCCTTCTTTATGGTCCAGCTCTCACTTCCATACTTCACTACTGGGAAAACCATGGCTTTAACTATACGGACCTTGAAGGGGCCCTTATCCCAGTCCAAATCAGGGTCCCCTCACATCACTTGTTGTCAGGGGTTCAGGAGCAGAGGCACAGGAAAGGGAGGAAATAGAGAGCGAGGGGGAGGAGTCCGAAGGAAATGTTAGCGATGACAGCGGTCCGAGGTCTCTGAGTCTTTCCAGCGAATCGGAAGATTCACAGAAAGGGGCTCCCTTGGTCAGAGCAAGGGGGGTGCCGAGGGGGACACCCCAGGAAGAAGGGGCCAGAGGGGACTCAGAGAGCAGCAGTTGGAAATCAGGACCAGCGTCCACACCAGAGTGCAGAAGGGGGGAGGAGTCCCAGGCATCGGGATCAGGCGGCGCACTGCCAGTGGGAGGACATGAGTCAGGATTGGCCACGCCTCCATCGGGGAGCGAGGAAACGGTCGAGAGGAAGGTTGAAGGCTGGGTGCGCGCGCCAAGTTCAAATGTACAGGAGGGCGGCGCAGTTGGCAGCCCGGATAGGGAGCCAGGTCCCAAAGCCCGCCGAAAAGAGGGGGAGGAGTCAGGGGGGTCAGCGTCAGAAGAATCCAGGAAGGAAGGGACCCCGGGGGGTAGCAGGACCCAGAGGAGAAAGGAGAGACGTAAGAGGTGGAGTAAGGCTAGAATCTTAAACTGGTGTACAGGGGGCGGAGACTCAGATGGAGCTTCGCCGATCTAACCCCTAGACGTAGAGCTGGGGCGCTCCGGCTTGAAAATGGAAACTGTACTTCAATAAAGACTTTTGTACATTACTGCCGGCTAGCGTTGGTCCTCTGTGAGCTGGGACCTGGAGCCAGCTCTGACAGTAAGCTCCATCTCCGAAAGTTTTGCACCAAAAACCTCGTAACGTGAGTGGACGCAGCGAGGGAAGAAGATTGGTGCTTCGCGAGCTCACAAAAGTCAGGCAAGATGACTACAGAACAGCAACTAGCAGCCCTGCAAAATGCAGTGACACAACTCAACGCGGAGGTACTCGCATCCAGGAAAAGGGAAGAGGAAGCGGCTGCCGCCTGCAGGGATCTCCAAGCCAGGTTGGAAGTGCTTGCTAAGCAGGGGCAACCGGGACCCAAATCAGAGGGGATTGGGCTGGGGAAAAGAGGAGGCAGCCTGGTATCTCATTTCGATGGGAATTTGCAGCAGTACCCTAACTTCCGAGCAGACGTGCTGTTTGCGCTGGAACTGCTGGATAAAGACTTTAGAGATGAGCAAGAGAAGGTGGGGTTTATCTTGTCCCATTTGCATGGGGAAGCTAAAGCGTGGCTGCGCAATCTGTGGAGAGATAAGGATCCGGCGCTCCAAAATGCGGATGCATTTATTAAAGCGATGGATTCGTGTTTTTTATCAAATATAGACATTGATATCGCCAGAAAAGACATACATGGGCTCAAACAAGGCAGAGCCAGTGTAAGGCAGTACCATTCCCGCTGTTTTGCATTAGTCCATGCGCTGGGATGGGAGAAGGATTCTGCCCCAGCCAGAGACCTTTTTGGGAAGGCTTGAATGCAAATGTGAAAGATGAGATTGCAAGGGGGGAGAGACCAAAGAGCACTCAGGAGGTTGTCCGGCGGGCGCTGCAAATTGGGGTGCGTCTGGAAGAACGTCCATGGAACAGAGAAGAAGGACGTTGGGGACGTACGCCAGTGAGAGCACCTCCCCTCTTTCCCAAGGATACAGCGCGTGTGCAATCCCCACCTCCGCAAGGAGGGGGAGAGCAACCGATGGAGATTGGAGGCGCCAGGGCTCAGTCAGCTACCAGAGCCTTAACACCGGGAGCAGTCAAAGCGAAGCCTCCTAGAGGGAACAGGAAGTGCTACATCTGCGACAGTGCTCAGCACATGGCGAAAGAGTGTCCCCAGAGGCTCCACAAGCACACTGCAGCCTCAGCAACAGTAACAGAAGCAACTCAGCAGAGAGAACCACAGCAGGGAAACGACAGAGTCTGGTTGGAGGAAGAGGCACTGGGGCCCAACCAGACAAGTCAATGAAGCCGTCCCCAGAGATTTTGCAGCCCACAGACCCCCTCCCGCCCAAACCAGTGGTGCAGCTCACAGCATCGCTCCAACTACCCAATGGACTCACTATGGAAGTGCCGATTACCATTGACTCTGGTAGTAACGCAGACTTCATAGGACTGGATTTCCTTCAAGAGCACAACATAGCACTCCTGCCAGCCACGCTGCCTCTGAAAGTTGTCACGGTGGATGGCAGGGAATTGCTGGGGGCAGGTGGTGCAGCAAACGCCTCCGATGGTGATGCAAATTGGGAATCACCGAGAAGTCATCAGCTTCAATGTCACCCAACTGTCGGACACGCCTATAGTATTAGGCATGAGTTGGCTGCACAGGCACAGCCCAGCATTGGCGTGGTACCAGCGACAACTGACCTTCGGCTCCTCATACTGTGCGGAACATTGCATTCTGCCTAGCCCGGAAGGGGAAGAGGATGACCCGCAGCTACAATTAGGCACGCTGCAAGCAGTGCCACTCAAGTACGCAGCGTTTTTGGAGGTTTTCTGCGAGAAGGAAGCGGACAAGCTACCTCCCCACAGGTCTTATGACTGCAAGATTGACCTCCTGCCAGGGGCGACGCTGCCGACCGGGAAACTGTATTCCATGTCTGAAGACGAGCTGCAGGAACTCAGGGAGTTCATAGACCTCAACTTGAAGCGCGGTTTCATCCGGGAGTCGAAGGCAGTGGGGGGCAGTCCTGTATTCTTTGTGAAGAAGAAGGACACGCCCCAAAAAGGCTTGTGGTGGACTATAGAATTTTGAACTCGAAAACCAAGCCCACAGCCTTTCCCATGCCCAAGATAGATGACCTGCTCGCAACGGTGAGGAAAGGACGCGTTTTCACAAAGTTGGATCTGCGAGGGGCGTACAACCTGATTCGCATACGGGAGGGCGACGAATGGAAGACTGCCATGTTCACGCCCCTGGGCACCTATGAATACAGAGTTATGCCCTTTGGATTACAAAATGGCTCCCACTGTTTTCAAGCCTTCATGCATCACGTATTGGCGGGTCTCCTCTACAAGAAATGCGTCTGCTTCCTGGACGACATCCTGATATTTTCAGAATCAGAGGAGACCCACGAGGGAGACGTCAAGGAAGTTCTGCAGAGACTGCAGGAGCACAGGCTGTACGCCAAGCTGGAGAAGTGCCAGTTCGACATGAAGGAGGTAGATTTCCTGGGCTACAAGTTGTCGGACAAGGGGCTCGCCATGGACAGCGCCAAGGTTCGCTCAGTGTTGGACTGGAAGAGCCCGCGCAATCGGAAGGAGGTCCAGCGGTTTGTCGGTTTCGCCAACTTTTACCGCAAGTTCATCAAGGGGTTCGCGATGCAGACGGCGGCCATTACCGACACGCTCAGCTCCAAGAAGAAGAAGTTCATCTGGACGGAGCAAGCGGAGCAGTCCTTTCAGAAACTCAAGCGTCTCTTCTCGTCCGAAGAGCAGCTACTGCATGTGAATCCCAGCAGACCGATGAGGGTTGAAACGGACGCCTCAGACAGAGCCGTGGGAGCAGTACTGTTGCAGCAAGACCCGCATGGGGACTGGAGACCGTGTGCCTTCTACTCCAGGAAGCTCAGCAAGTCAGAGCAGAACTACACCATCTGGGACAGGGAGTTGCTGGCCATTCATGCAGCATTCAAGGCGTGGCGGCACTTCCTCATTGGAGCCAAACACACAGTGCAGGTCCGCACGGACCATAAAAACCTGGAGTACTGGCGCACGGCAAGGTTCCTGAACCAGAGGCACATACGATGGGCGGAGTTCTTTGCGGATTTCGACTTCAGGATAGAGTACATCCCAGGCGACAACAACATCATGGCGGATGCACTGTCCAGAAAGCCGCAATACCTCGAGGAGGCGGCACCCGCAGCGGCCAAGCACATTTTCGCACCGAAAGCGTGGGCGTGCGCTTCAGCAACCGTGGACCTGGATGCTGTACGTCGAGCACTGCAGGAGGACCCCTTCGCGCAAGCAAAGATGGCAGAGGTGCAAAGGGGCACGGCGGAGGACGACGAGTTCCAGATACGCGACGGATTGCTCATCCGCAGAGGGGCCCTCTACGTACCGGGAGACGACCTCCGCGCGAAAGTACTGCAGCAGTTGCACGACGCACCCACCGCCGGGCACTTTGGCAAAGAGAAGACGGTAGAATTAGTAGCCAGAGATTTTTGGTGGCCCAAGATGCGGGGGAAGTCGCGGATTACGTCTCGAGGTGCGACACCTGCCAAAGGGCCAAGTCAGTGCACAAACCGCCGGCGGGACTGCTCGAACCGCTGCAGACACCGATCGAACCGTGGGAGAGGGTGGCCCTGGACTTTGTCACGGATCTACCCAGCTCGAGGGGCAAGACGGCAGTGCTAGTGGTGGTGGACATGTTCACCAAAATGGCCCACTTCATTCCGTGCGCGAAGGTGGCCACGGCGGAACAGACCGCCAAACTGTTCATAGACCACGTGTTCAGGGTTCACGGTCTGCCACGGTCTATCCTGTCCGACCGGGGCGACAGTTCATCTCGAACTTCTGGCAGAAGCTGATGGGTTTCCTGAACGTCAAGATCAACCTAGCGTCGGCGAGACACCCGCAGACGAACGGACAAGCGGAGCGAGTCAACGCCATCATGCAGCAGTACCTGCGATGCTACGCAAATCAGCAGCCGGCAACATGGGTGGACTACCTGCCGCTCGCTGAGTTCGCCTACAACAACACGAAGCACGTGTCCACGGGGGTGACACCGTTCTTCGCCAACAACGGGAGGCATCCCAGAACCTTCCCGGGATTAGCGAGAGCAGGGGAGGGGGAGCCACAGGCAGCGGAAGCCTTAGCATCAGAGTTGCAGGAGGTTCACGAACAGCTTCGGAGGCAGTTAGAACTAGCAAAGCACGCATACAAACTGCAGGCTGACAAGCACAGAAGGGTTGGGGAAGACATACAGGTGGGAGACTGGGTTTGGTTAGCAGCCCAGGCAGTGCCGGCCAGATCGTTAGCGAAGAAGAAGCTAGGGCATAAGCAGCTAGGACCCTACCAAGTCGAGGCACAGGTCAATCCAGTGGCCTTCCGGTTGACACTGCCGGAGGGATCCAGAATGCACCCAGTTTTCCATAGATCAGTGCTCACGCCCTACAAAGCACCTCATAGATTTCAGGAGCCAGGAACGGCACCAGACCCGTTCAGGGAAACGCCCACAAGGGGGTGGTCGCCAAGGCGGGAACCCGTCAACGAAGTCACAGAGATTTTAGACTCGAGATGGGGGGAGCAGGGAGTGGACTACCTCCTCGCCAAGGAATGTACCAAGGCTAGCGCCAACAGTTGGGTGCCAGATTATGCTCTGGAGGAATCTTGGCTCAAGGACGAGTTCCATGCACTTTTCCCACACAGGCCCATGCCAGCCGAGTATTTCGACGACTGGCTTTTCACACCCACATTTTCAGCTAGCACATTCCAGGGGTTCACCTCGGACGAGGAACCGGCACTAGAAGCACGTTCCCCGGAGGGATCACCCTCGGGTCTGCCTCAGACCGTTCCTATTGGTGGGACAATCAACCAGAGGAGCAGTGGCGCAGGAAGTGGTTGGGGGTCCTTGGCAGGCAACGTCCCCGGAGGAGACCGGGGAGAGACGGACATGGACGTGTTGGGGGAGGACCTTGGGTTCGAGCACGGCGGCAAAGAGATGGAAGCAGAGGAAATTGAGGTCGGCGAGAGCACGGAGGACGAGCCGGACTTATCCGGCTGGATGCACGCCACGGGGGACGAACTGTATCCGGCACTCACCCCCACAACGACGGAGCACCCAGTACCCACACCTGAAGGTGGGGTGGGGGGATGGGGGGGCTTCGAGGGGGGGATGGATGTCAGGGGTTCAGGAGCAGAGGCACAGGAAAGGGAGGAAATAGAGAGCGAGGGGGAGGAGTCCGAAGGAAATGTTAGCGATGACAGCGGTCCGAGGTCTCTGAGTCTTTCCAGCGAATCGGAAGATTCACAGAAAGGGGCTCCCTTGGTCAGAGCAAGGGGGTGCCGAGGGGACACCCCAGGAAGAAGGGGCCAGAGGGGACTCAGAGAGCAGCAGTTGGAAATCAGGACCAGCGTCCACACCAGAGTGCAGAAGGGGGGAGGAGTCCCAGGCATCGGGATCAGGCGGCGCACTGCCAGTGGGAGGACATGAGTCAGGATTGGCCACGCCTCCATCGGGGAGCGAGGAAACGGTCGAGAGGAAGGTTGAAGGCTGGGTGCGCGCGCCAAGTTCAAATGTACAGGAGGGCGGCGCAGTTGGCAGCCCGGATAGGGAGCCAGGTCCCAAAGCCCGCCGAAAAGAGGGGGAGGAGTCAGGGGGGTCAGCGTCAGAAGAATCCAGGAAGGAAGGGACCCCGGGGGGTAGCAGGACCCAGAGGAGAAAGGAGAGACGTAAGAGGTGGAGTAAGGCTAGAATCTTAAACTGGTGTACAGGGGGCGGAGACTCAGATGGAGCTTCGCCGATCTAACCCCTAGACGTAGAGCTGGGGCGCTCCGGCTTGAAAATGGAAACTGTACTTCAATAAAGACTTTTGTACATTACTGCCGGCTAGCGTTGGTCCTCTGTGAGCTGGGACCTGGAGCCAGCTCTGACAGTTGTGGACAATGGGAAACTTCTGCACGAGACCCCAGAGAGCAGCCAATGCCAGCTTGACAAATAGTCTGACCTGGTAGAAGGCAGCTTCCATTGACGCCCCTTGTTACAATGCAAGCTGCTCCAGTGTGTTTGAGCCAGGCTTCCACAGGAGAAGCTCCTTGAGGATGGTTGTCTCTGTTGCCACAACTTCTTTGGAATAAATTTGGCCTTCACATTATAACTGGAGGCAGCAAATTGATGAGGCTTCTGTCTCCTGCGGGTACCGAGCGCAAGCTGTCGAAGGAGGGAAAAATAGATGTTACTGCTGAGATATGAATTTTAAGAGAGACAAGTGTGAGCAAACAAAGCTGTCTCCTTAAACACTGCAGTAAGAATGTGCCAGAATGTCTGATGTTAAAATTAATGTATTTAATAACAGTGAAGAGGGGTTTGGTTTTTTAACCCTTTCCTCATCTGCAGAAGCTAAAGCTGCCAGACAGGTTATATGGCAGCAGAACCAAATGTTCTGAACTTCCCGGGCTGCAAGTTATGCAATTATCCAAACTAGAGCAAAAGAGCAAAATAACCTGATCAAGTAAAGAAATAGACCCTGTTCATTCCTGTGCACATAGTGTGCAGCAAGAACAAAGGATGCTGCCATACTGATTTGGACCACAATTCTCTTTTTTTAAAAAAATAATATTTATTGAGAATTTTAAGATGACAAAGAAACAAAGAAAAAAAGAAGGAAAAAACAAGTAGCATTTAAACAATACGAATCAATTTAAAAAAAAAAAACAAGGTCGAAAAGAGAAAAAAACAAAACGCATAGTACATCAAAATCAAAAAGCAAAAATAGACAAAAAATTTAAAAACAAATCCAATATTCCCAAATCATTAACTGTCATTACCTTGTTTCATCGACCTCCTCACACCTCCCTTTTTTGTATTCTAGTTGTTAATTATCTCAGCAAATCCTTTCCATCTTTCATAATATTCTGTCATTAAATTACCTTAATCTAATTTAACCTTATCTTAAATTACCTTAATCTATTTTAACCTTATCTTACCATAAAAGGCCCTAAAACTTAAAGCTTAAATCTTATTTATACCAAATTCTCTTAACCATGACATATTCTTACATAATTCTTTTTAACATTTCTGCTAAAGCCACTGTCAGGGAACTGACATCGGAGCTAGAGGCGGAGGGAAGGCTCTCAAATGATGCTGGAGAAGGGCCCAGCAGGGAGAGAGGCAGCTCCGCAGATGGGGAAGCAAATCAGCGCTACACCAGGGATAAGGAGGGGCTGATGGGGGAATCGGCGAGAGGGCTCCAGGACTCTTCACCGGACACCAGCGGGACAGCACTGGTCCCCCGCTACCCACGCCCACCCTGCGCAGAAGACTTCCGCGCAGAGAGAGTAGGAGGAGACTGGGTGTCAAACAACTTTTATGTTGGAAAAGATTTAAGAAACGCCCACTGACGGATTCTGCTAGCGACTGAGGCAGCCACGAAGTGAAGGGCTGCCCAGACTGAAAGGTTTAGCAAGGCAACAAAGCCTGGAGAGGCGGCAACTTACGCACGAGCAACCCATACTCATTACAGCCACATAATTTCATTCCAACATTTTTCTAATACTCTTTACTTTTACAAGATTTTCCTAAATAATTTGTTTAAAACTTTCTTCCAATCTTCATCCAACGTCTCTTTCTCCTGGTCTCGGGTTTTGTCAGTCCTTTCTATCCCATCCATCTAGTCCATCAACCTGGTAACCTTATATCCGAGGCCCTTGGATCTTAACTATCTGTCAAAAACGTTTGTCTATAGTCAATGAACTTCCCGAAGACGTCTGTCCTGACACCCCGCTCCCAGGTTCAGGACGGTGGAGAATTGCTTTTCTTTACTTGTCTTCTGCAAGTTTAATCAGTCCAGAAAAAGTTTCCCCCTCTTCTCCTGTTTCCAAGGGGGGTTTAGTAATTTTAAATGATGAGAATTGATCCTTTACAAACGATTTTCTAAGCTCTACCTTGCCATGTCTTTGCTTCAATCTATTTACAAAAAGCGGAAGGCAGACTTCCTGTTTATACCTTTCCGCTTCAGTGCCAAATTAAAGGAAATTTCTTATTCCAATTTTCCGTTCTACTCACGGACAGTTATTTAAGCTCCAATTGTCCACAGGAAAAAGTCAGCGCTCTCCAGCAACAGCAATGCGGCTTCACTCCATGAAAGAAGCAGTCGATTCAAGGCACCGCGCCACTCACCCCACGTCACTCCGGAACCCCGAAATTGGGTTTCCCCGCGAGTAGGGGGGGCGCGAAGGTACCGGCCGAATCCCACATCCACAGGCTTCTCCCGCTTGTGGTTTTTGATGGGTCTCCGCCTCGCCGTGGCGGTTCAGACCCTGTTTTCCACGGAGCGGATTCCTCCCGATCGGAGGAAATCCGCCATTGCCAGAGGCGCCAACCCGGAAGTCTTGATTTGGACCACAATTCTCATTCCACCAGCTGTTCCCATGGAGGCACAACATTTAAATAGGATCAATGTCCATCAAAATGCAGTGAGCATAGGATCAGACTCTGGCTGCATACATACCATATACTTAAAGCACATGACTTTGCCCAAAGAATCCTGGAAACTATAGTTTCACACACACACACACACACACACACACACACAGAGCTACATTTCCCAGCACCCTTAACAAGCTACAGTTCCCATAATTCTTTGGGGGAAGTCATGTACTTTAAAGGTATGGTGTATATGCAGCCTGTGCAGTAGAGTCCCACGTTTTTTTCCTGGAACTCCTACACCCATTGAGTTTTAACCCATTGAGTGTGTCCTATTCAAACAGAATACATCACATTGTAGATGGCAGTCACATCATAGAGTCACAGAATCGTAGGGTTGTAAAGGACTCCAAGAGTCATCTAGAGATCTCAACTAAGAGGCAGAGGAGGCACATTTGAAGGGTAGGATACCACTTCTGAATGCAAGTAAAGGTAAAGGTAAGGTAAAGGAGTCCTGGACAATTGAGTCCAGTCAAAGGTGACTATGGAGCTGCAGAGCTCATCTTGCTTTCAGGCTGATGGAACCAGCGTTTGTCCACAGACAGCTTTCCGGGTCATGTGGCCAGCATGACTGAACCCCTTCTGGCACAACGGGACACCATGACGGAAACCAGAGCACACGGAAATGCTGTTTACCTTCCCGTCACAGTGGTACCTATTTATCTACTTGCACTGGTGTGCTTTCAACCTGCTAGGTTGGCAGGAACTGGGACAGAGCAATGGGAGCTCACAACCATCATGCGGATTCGAACCGCCAACCTTCCGATCGGCAATCCCCAGAGGGTCAGTGGTTTAGATCACAGTGCCAATCGCGTCCCATCTCCTTCCATGCCTCCAAATGCAAACCACCCAGCAAGCCTTGTTCTCAATATCCTTCCTTCACCTTGGCTAATGTGGTGCAAAGTTCTCATTTCCACAGGCCCTTGGATGGAGAAGGTGGAAGATGCTCCCAGAGCATTTCCACCCAATTATCTTAACCTATTTTCTACGTTCCTCCATTAGCTAGAATATAATCCAATTAACTGAGTTCTTTAGTGAAAATAGAAACAACAAAAAAAACCCTTCCATGTACTCCACTTTAATAGATGGAAGGATGAAAGTGCCTATGAACCTGGCAGTGGACAGCATAGATGGGTCCTTGGAAGCATTGGTCAGAAGCACTGCCAGAAGCACATATTAAAGTACTGGTATATTAGTACTGTTCCTACAGCGTTTGCACAGGATGGTTCTGCCTGCTGTGTGCACTGATTATTCTCATAATGTATCACTTGGGTTAGCTATTTATAAGTTGCATCACAGGAGCCTGGGTTGATTATGTAATTCCTTTGAAGCAACACTGTTTGTTGCCATGACTTAGAAATTGCAAACTGGTACATTTAGCACACCCAGGACAAACTTATTGCTCCTCATGCCAGTGGTCTGTGATTAGCATGCTGGGTTTCTCGGTATCTCGAACCCTGTTGTTTATTTTATAGTCTCGTACAGTATATATTTTGCCAGTCTGTAAGTGCAGCAAATATGTCTAAAATCTGCATTACCTTTCTTGCAACACCAAAAATGGTCTTGAATTTTCTGGATATATACCGTATTTTTCACCCTATAGGGCGCACCGGCCCATAGGGCGCACCTAGTGTGTGGGGGGGGGGGAATAAAGAAAAAAAAATCCCCCAGGGAACTCCCACGGGCTCCCAAGGCTTGCGGATAGCTTCCTGAAGCCTGGAGAGCGAGAGGGGTCGGTGCGCACCGACCCCTCACGCGCTCCAGGCTTCAGCGAAAGCCTGCATTCGCCCTATAGGACGCACACACATTTCCCCTTCATTTTTGGAGGGGGAAAAGTGTGTCCTATAGGGCGAAAAATACGGTATTTCTTGTTTGCAAAGACATGTAGTAGCTCCAGTGCAATGTTTTGCAAGGAGAAACTGTCAGGGTTAATCCCCAGCATCTCCAGGTAAGACTGGGAGACTGGTGTGGAAATTTTGAGAGCTTCTGGTGATCAGTGTAAACCTGGGCTAGATGTACCAGTGGTCAGACTAGGTGTAAGTCTGTGTTTCCTGTGTTTCTACTTCCAGCTGCCTCTTTTGCAGATAGTGTCCTCTGGCGGGACTGAAATTGGGCTTTGGGTACCAACTTTCTGATGATTCCAAGTCCCCAAAAATAACATCTATTTCAGAAAGATTGCTTGTTATAGGCAACTGTCCTGATCTGCAAGAGGGAATTTTCCAGAACTTTTTCAGCCTAGGGAGATAAATTCAACTCTGTCCTCATTTAAAGGTGAACTTGCCAAATTCACATTTTCCAAAACAATTTGCCTACTGAAGCGCAACCGTCCTTCAAAATTCGCCTTCTCCGATTTTTGCAATTTAGTTCTCCAGCCAAGTAAGGAGTACAAAAACACATACGCTAAAGCAGGGGTTCCCAAACTGCAGCCCATGAGCTTCATTCAGATGATCTGTGGATTTACTGCTGAATATGGAAGACTGCAGATCCATCACACTGAATAACAAGCCCAGACACTGAGCTCCTATTCCAAGGGCCCTCTGGCAGTTCTCTCATTGTGAGAAGTGACGTTACATGGAACCAGGTAGAGGGCCTTCTCGGTAGTGGCGCCCGCCTGTCAGGCATCAGAGGATCCAATCCCCCATGGTAGGCTGCCAGGAATGGATAAGACAGGGAAAGTTCTTACCAATGCCTTTTATTCAATATTCACAGAGAGAGGCTTAGAAATGCAGCCTCTGGGAGAAATGGTGTTGCTCCAAGTGAGTCTTCATCCCCTCCCTCTCTCCTATTATGTGTCATCACTACAGGTGCCTCTGCCTCTGAGCTCTCTGCTCTCCTACTTTCAATGCCCACCAGGTTCTGGGAGCGATGGGTCTGGAATGCTTTCTAAAGACACTGAGTCCATCAGCTGTCCCCCCCTCTGGTGCGTCTTCTTCCTCCTCTCCCATTATTTCCCAGCTTTTCCCCTCATCTGCCTTTGAGCTGTAACCTCTCTCAAACCCCTGTTATAATTCTGAGCTGTCTCCTTCTTCTCTGGAAGGGTCGGGCTGGGGAGACAGTCTCCACCATTCCTCCTCTGCCCAGTCCCTGTGGAATGCTCTCCCATAAGATGCCAAAGGGAAAGACAACTATATGACCTTCCATAGACATCTGAAGGCATCAGAAAGCTTTCAATGTCTGATGTATCATGTGTTCTTTTATACTCTGTTGGAAGCCACTCAGTCAAGCAGGCAGGGTACAAATAATAAGTCATTACTATTATTTGTATTGTTATTGTGTCTTTTATTTCTTGTGTTGTATTTTATTGTGGTACAATTTGAAATCTTCGAGATGACTATCTCTCTACAACAAGCACAAAAATCATTAAGCTTAGAGACCATGGGACAAATGGAAGGAATCGTGGAACAAAGGGAAGTGTGGCTGAGCCCTTAGACAGTAGAGATTTTCAAAGTGGTATATAACTGCTTTTAAATAAATAGAACAAATTGCTAAATAAACTGGGGTTTGAGGTTTCGTCAAAAGTAAATTTGTTCCATCATCTGTGTGATGGGCCCTCACCATCCACCTCTGAGATTCATCTGACCTTTAAAGAGTTTGATGTGCCTTTTTTTCACAAATGGCATTGAGCCTCAAGTGAGATGAGCTGTTAGGATTGCTGTTACCTTAAGCAGATCCCTTGAACAAAGAAGCTACTGTATTGGTTTCAGCCTGTTTATCAGCGTTATTGGACAACCACGTGATTTCTCTGTAAGCTGAGACTCAGATGCTCATTTGGGACTCAGGAGGCAGGACTTCCAAGAAATTTTGGTATGGCACTGAACTACGGACCTCCCCACAAAGCTACTTGACTGCCAATGCTGAAATCACTGAAATTAAATACCATTCATGTTACTTGCTATCCGTAGATCAGTTAGGGCCAAAGTAGATGAAGCTATGGAGCTCTGGGACTGGATATCTTGCCTCCTTATATATTGGTAGAAAGCAGCCATGGGGATCGTTTTAGAGGAGGTACGTGAAAATTCAGTTCAGGTCCATGGAGTCCATTCCTCTACAGTGGTACCTTGGTTCTCAAACTTAATCCATTCCGGAATTCCTTTCCAAAACCAAAGCATTCCAAAACCAAGGCGCACTTTCCCATAGAAAGTAATGCAAAACAGATTAATCCATTCCAGACTTTTAAAAACAACCCCTGAAACAGTAATTTAACATGAATTTTACTATCTAACAAGACCACTGATCCATAAAATTAAAGCAATAAACAATGTACTACTGTCACACAATCAATCAATCAGTAGCTGAACTGGGTTCCACACAGTCACAAAAACAAAAACAAAAGAGCTGCAAAAACAAAAACGCAAAATGAATAGCAAAAACAAACAGACCTCAGCGCAACATTCAAAATGGAAGTGTGACACTCAAATTGTAAGCATAGCACTCAAAACAGAGCACGTTCAGCTTCCGAAAAAGGTTCGCAAACTGGAACACTTACTTCCAGGTTTGCAATGTTTGGATTCCAAGTTGTTTGAGTTCCAAGGCGTTTGAGAACTAAAGTACCACTTTACATCAGTATTTCCCAAAGTGGGTGATACTGCCCCCTGGGGGGGTGCTGGAATGATCCAGGGCGATAGTAGTAGCCCCATGTGCAATTAGGGGTGTTGAATAAAAATAAGGGGGTGATGGAAGCATAAAGAAAAAGAATTTTTTGAAATATCATTTGTACATGTTTAATTTGTTTTGTAAGGATGCTTACTGCCAGGTTGGGCGCCATTGCAGGACAGCATCAATGCTTCCCCTGGATCCTGTGGCCGAGACCATATAACACCGGTCCTGAGGCATCTGAGGTAGCCCTGTTTTTAATATTTGATGTTTTATTGTGTTTTTAATATCCTGTTGGAAGCTGCCCAGAGTGGCTGGGGAGGCCCAGCCTGATGGGTGGGGAATGAGTAACAAATTGTTGCTGTTGTTGTTGTCGTCGTCGTCATCATCATCATCCCAGGGCCTAGTCCATCTCTTTGTCCAGTTTTGAAAAAAGTGTTCATACATGTTTTATCTGTTGCGTAATCACGATTACTGATGTAACATAGAGAACACAAATTCGTCGCTGCATCTGTTTATTCGCTTAAAGAAGGTAGATTTCCAAAGGGCAAGGAGTATTTTCTTTTTCTGAAAAGGGGGTGGTAGGCCAAATAAGTTTAGAAACCTCTGCTCTGCATCCTTTTCCTAATGAAAATCTCTAAACCAGGGATGAGGAGCATCTCATCCCCCAGCTTTGCTGGACCCCAGATTTGTTGGACCCCAGATTTGCTGGACCACAGCTCCTATCAGGATGTTGGGTGCTGCCATCCCCTGAGTTCTGGATGGCCACAGGTTCCCCAACTCTGACCTAAACATAGCTGCTCTTTGCCCGATTATGGAAAACGCACATGTGCCTTTACAACTTGTGCGTCTGGCACAGTGCCCGTAATAAAGGAGCAGAATTCCAAACGGGTATCTGTCATTTCTCTCTCTTTTGCCTCGCAGTTCACATCTGCAGATAGTTTAGGACTCATTCTGCCATTACCCGGGAGTGTAAACTTTGATTTCACAGAAAGCATATTTGGGGTCTGGGACATCTCAGGAACCCATAAACAAGTTTCCGTAATTAGAACTCTTCCTCCTACAGGTCTCGAGTATAAATTTAGCCTTGCAAAAGCACTCAATGCCCCTCCAAACAATTTTTTTTAAAAAAAGAAAGAAACTCTAATTGCCCGTGAGTTTAAAATGTATGTTTATAACAAGGTGAAGAACTGGAATTTTGTTTAAAATAGCTGTGTGAAGGTAAATCGTGCCTCAAATGTAAATAGTGTATCCAAGGGTAGTAATATTCAGAGGAAGCCTATTGAAATGAATAGATATGACTAACTTTAGACCATTAATTTTAAAGGGTCTTAGGTAACTATAACTATGTTTGCAAGGCAAAACACATCTCTTGAGTCATAGGAGCTCAGAAAGCTGCCTTACTGAGTCATACAGTTGGTCCATCCAGCTCAGTACTGTCCACACTGACTGGCAGTGACTGTCCAGAGTTTCAGACCAGGAGTCTTCACCAGCCCTTCCTGGAGCTGTCTGGGTTTGAACCCGGGACCTTTTGTACGTAAAGCAGATGCTCTACCCCTGAGCTCTGACCCTCCCCAAACCTGAAGGGCACGGAGGGTTGGAGGAGAGTTGCAGTGAAATGTGGGCAGGGGAGGAAGGGTTAAGCACCTCTGCCCCCGGCTGGATTTCTGCTCCAAATGACCTCCTCCTAAAGCTGCTTTTCCCTTAATACATGCACTTGTATGTAATGCATAGTTTTGACCCTTATCTTGGCGTCTTATTGATTGTTCAAAGACAGCCTTCCTCCTGCCAAAAACAGCAATAAAATAGAGCCCATTCCCAGTCTATGTTACAGCCAACAAGTTGATTACACTGTTACTGGATAGCATCAGCTCTGGAGAATTAGGCAACTCTGGGAGGTGATGGTCTTTATTATATAGCGGTTAGTTCTCACTCTGCAGTCAGCCTGGTCAGCGTTTTCTCTTGATTGTTGGCTCTTCCCTTCTAACCGTTGAGAGAGAGAGACTGGTTCCTGGAGATTTGTAATACAGACATCATAATGAGCATCAGGTTGGAAGAGTGATGTTCTAGCCTTCCCCTTGAGTGTTGGTCTGGGTTTAGCATATTTTAGTCACCGTCTTCTACAATTACAGGCTCAGCATTTGCACAATCCACATTTCAATTAAACGCCCCAGCAGTTTTATACCAGCACGTAAATCAGTCCTTTGGGAATTTTGCAAAGCTTTCAATCAATGTTTTAAAAAATGTGATTGTCTCCCCACCACCATCCCCAATCATTTACTGTAATTACTACTCCTTCCTCTTCTTCTTCTTTCTTTCTTTTTCTTTTATTTTCTGGACCAGAGTTTTGGCAATGCAGAGAGGCAAGGGAAGCAATAGCAGCCTGGGCTCATCAAATATATCTGAGGCCAAAATTCCCAGGTAGGGGAGCTAAGACTCCAGTCCTAGGCAGAGAGTGAAGTGCATATGAGCTAGAGGTGTTTTGAACCTTTTCTCATAGCCTGTTGCCTGGTAGTGCAACTAGGAAGCCACTTTTCCTTTGTGGTGTAGTGGCTAGAGCAAAGACACCAACCATTTTAGGCCTATGGGCACATTTCAATGTTTTTTTCAGCAAGTGCTTTGGGTGCCTCTCCTTCTAGTCATTTCACTCTCCCCTCTACTGGGTCAACAGCCTCTCCAACAAAGGCAGAGAAAGCATGCTCTCTCACACGCACTTAACTTTCCCAAGGGAAGTGGTTTAAAGTCAGATCTAGCTGAGTTAATCTGAGCCTTGGGAAAGCAGACTGAACTGAAAGAGGAAGTGGGAAAGAGTATCACTGCATACTACTCAAAGGAGAAAAAGGGAAACTCTCTCATTATCTCATGATCGGGAGGGTCTTGGGCAGTGAGTGAGGATAAGGCTCAGAGGCTTCATAAGAACTAAGGGAAGATCTCAAGGAGACCATGGCACCCACACGCACCACATTGATGATCCCCAGAATAGAGGGTTGGACCAAGACCTGGGAGGTAAAGGTAAAGGGACCCCGACCATTAGGTCCAGTCATGACCGACTCTGAGCTCCCGTTGCTTGGTCCCAGCTCCTGCCAACCTAGCAGACAGAATCTGAATTCAAAATGACCTTAACAGATTGGACAACTGGGCCCAACCTAACTAATTTCAGTAGGGGTAAATGCACTTGGGCAGGAAGAACCAGATGCACAAATATACGATTCTGCCTTGGTCAGACCACATCTGGAATCCTGTGTGCAATTCTGGGCGCCACAGTTTAAGAAGGATGTCAGAAAGCTGGAACGTGTGCAAAGGAGGGCAACCAAGATGGTCAAGGGTCTGGAAACCAAGCCTTATGAGGAATGGTTGAAGGAGCTGGGTATGTTTAGCCTGGGGAAAAAGAGACTGAGAGGAGATATGACGGCCATCTTTAAATATCCCAAGGGCTGTCGCATGGAAGAGGGAGCAAGCTTGTTTTCTCCTGCTCTGAAGGGTAGGACTCGAACCAATGGATTCAAGTTGCAAGAAAAGAGATTCTGATTAAACATCAGGTAGAACTCTCTGACAAGTAAGAGCTGTTTGACAGTGGAACGGACTCCTTGGGAGGTGAGGGACTCTCCTTAATTGGAGGTTTTTAAGCAGAGGCTGGATGGCCATCTATCGTGGAAGCTTTTGCTGAGATACCTGCATTGCAGAGGGTTGGACTAGATGATCCTCGGGGTCCCTTCCAAGTCTACAATTCTATTACCACTTTAGCCACACCGGGTGCTGCAGGGGGCGCCACAACAATGCTGTGGAACGAGGGAGAGAGAAGGGTGGGTGCTGAAATTTAGCACTGCACAGAGTGCCACTGAAATTTGAGAGTCCGCCTTAGGCCACGAGATCCCTTGCTATCTGCAAAGGGACAGCTGCATTTGAGCATGCATAGGCACTCTCTAGGGACGTGGGTGGCGCTGTGGGTTAAACCACAGAGCCTAGGACTTGCCGATCAGAAGGTCGGCGGTTCAAATCCCCGTGACGGGGTGAGCTCCCGTTGCTCGGTCCCTGCTCCTGCCAACCTAGCAGTTCGAAAGCACGTCAAAGTGCAAGTAGATAAATAGGTACCGCTCCGGCGGGAAGGTAAACAGCGTTTCCATGCGCTGCTCTGGTTCGCCAGAAGCGGCTTAGTCATGCTGGCCACAGGACCCGGAAGCTGTATGCCGGCTCCCTCGGCCAGTAAAGCGGGATGAGCGCCGCAACCCCAGAGTCAGACACGACAGGACCTAATGGTCAGGGGTCCCTTTACCTAGGCACTCTATGCAGGTGGGACCAACCCCCAATTGCACAGTGGTCCCAGTTGCACGGAATGCCTTTCTACGAGTTGGGAGGGGGGCAGGGGTCCCTCATCTCCCACTTCTTTAGCGGAGAAGAAACCGGCCCGGGCAGCTGCAGCAGCAGCAGGGACCAAGGGCCGCGCTTGCCTTGGCGCGGATCGGCTCATCACCGTCTCCGGCTGCTGGAGCGCGCCGCGAGTTATCGGCGAGGCCGGCTCCGCCTCCGCCTCGACGGCAGCATCAGTATTCCAGAGCCATTGGCAGCCAGACGCGCTCCGGCTGGAAGCCGCCGCTGTCCTCGCGTGAACCCGGCTCCTTGGCTGCCGCAGAGGGAGCCGGGAGCGCGCAAGGCTAAGGCTGAGCGAGAGAGAGAGAGAATGAGAGAGAGAGAGGCGGGCAGATTGATAGACGCCCCCTCCCTCCGCTAGAGGCAAAAGAGATGCTGCAAGCCTATCCCTCCCCCTCCCCACACCAGGTTTGTAGGAGGGGGGCGAAGGGGAGGGCTCCCCCCAATCAACCGTCCGCAGACCGAGAGGGAGACTGGAAAGGTAAGATTCGGAACGAAGAAAGGAAACCAAGGGAAAGGAATCCATCCCCCCCAAAAAAGGGGGGGCACCAGTAAGGGGGAGATGGGGGTGGAAGACGGCAGTGTATGGAGGGGAGCCCGATCCTGCGCTTGTTTACTGGGAAGTAAGCCTCGTTGGCTGACTGGGCTGGACTGGTAGGATGGGGGCGGGCTTCCAGAGGTTTGGGCCTCCAACTGCCCTCAGCCCAGCCGATGACAGGGCCGATAGGGGGTTGCAGTGCACAACCTCTAGGGGGCGCCAGGCTCCCCAGGCAGATTCTTGGTCGATATGCCCAGGAAGTCCTGGTTATATGGGGTGGCAGTCGTGGCTCTGCTCAGCCATCGCGGAAGGGGGTTGGGGGAGGGGGAGGAGAGGACTGGCAAAGTCCAGGGCCCCCTCCCTTCTCCAGGGAGGCTTCGCAGGCCTCGTTGACCTCTGAGGAATCGGGGAGGCCCCGTCGTGTGAGTGACCCTGGCTGGGGATACAAGCTTTAAAGGCGAGGGGAGAGGAGGAGGTGGCGGTGGGGTGGAGCGATTACCTCCTTCCTCACCGCCCCCCCCCCCCCCACAACGACATCCACCCTTCCCCCGCAGCTGCTCGTTTATTCTCCACACCCACCCCCCGTAAAGTTAGCCACGACCTCGGTCACTGTCCTTCTGCTTGCAGGTAGGAAACAGAAACCGACCCGAGGAGGGCATTGAGACCAGACAAAGCAGAGCACCAACGTACCCAGCTGTTGCTGCTGTTTTTGTTGTTGTGGTCGTGTGTTTTGCTTCCACTTTGGGTGTAGGGTGAGAGGGGAGGTCAGTGGCCGAAGGTGTCCTCCGCGGAGCTTGTTTTGACATATTTCGTGCCAGTCCCCTGAGCCTCGTGCGTCAACGAGGAGAGATCCTGCCGTACTCTGGGGGGGCCAAGGTGTAATTATTATCGAATAAGCTTATCTGCGAACAGCCCCACAAGCAAATGAAAGGGCGCGTTGGAGAGGGGTGGAGAGGGGGGAATAGCAAGCCTCGATCTTGCTCTGCCAGCCAGCAGCTGGCCCCTTCTCAAAAGTTGTCGTCATTATTATCAATATTATTACTTCCCTGCAATGGCGCTTTCCAAAGTTACATAAGCGGAAGGCAGATGCCTGCCCCGGGGAGCTTACAGTCTCGAATTTCGAGGAGGAGGAGGACAGCAGAGATAAGGAAAGGGATGCGATGGGTGAACGCTGGTTTGCCGTGCTGATTGATTGATTGATTGATTGATATTGTTTTTAAATATTCCTTGACGGGCTAGCTCCTTCATCGTTTTGCAGACTGCCGCTTGTTTTCACCTTCCACCGAAAGATCATAGAATCGTAGAGTTGGAAGGTACCCCGCGGTCATCTAGTCCAACCCCCTGCAATGCAGGAATCTCAACGAAAGCATCCATGACAGATGGCAATCCAGCCTCTGCTTAAAAACCTCCAAGGAAGGAGAGTCCACCACCTCCCGATGGAATCTGCTGCACTGTTGGAACAACTCTTACCGTCAGAAAGATTAAACACCCTAAAGTATCAAGTCATGGCGACTTCTTTCCAATATCCCCTGAGCCATGGGCGTAGCGGGGAAGGGGGCGGGCAGCGGCCCCGGCTAAAGCAAGTAAATAAATAGAAATACAGCTTGGTTCTGCCTTCCCTCCCCCAACATAAATCCTGGCTGCATGCCCTGAGCATGTGAAATTGGCCGCCGCTCCAGCTTTCAGCGCCCACGTTTGTACACGCTAAAGCGCTGCAGATGCCAGATCTAGAAGTCGTCAGAAGAGCAGCGCCCGGGGAGGGGGAACCGGGTCAGGAACAGGTCGGCTCCCGACAACGGGGCGCGGAGGGGGGAGAGGAGAGTCGTGACTCGTCAGGACCGGTTCTCGTTTGCGCTACAGCGCCTTCGATGTACATAGGCTTGCTCGACGAGTTATGGTTTGTCTCTGGGTCTGAAAACTCTAGATTCTCTCTTCTCTGGCCTTTCCGTCTAATCTCCTTTGTGGGCGTTGCCTTTGCAGTTTGTAATCGCAACCTCGCTTTTTTCTTTATTGGCGTCCGAATATATATTCGGATGCCAATAAAGAAAAAGGGTATGCTATATTTATTTCTATAGTTATCCCAAAAAGCGAAAGGTCCAAGGTACAAATAAATATAGCGTTGCGTAAGGGTGGGAAGTTAGGTCCCTGCCTCCTAGGAGCTTGCATTACGATCGTTCACGTAGATGGCTTGCATTTAGATGGCAAACGGGGGTGCCAGGGGTTACAAAAAAAGATGTAAAGCAAGTGGGGTCACAGCAAAGCAGCAGACCGGTTTCCTCGGGAGTAAATCCAAGTGCTTTCCATTATCCTTACTCCTGAATAAATTATGGTCTGTAATCTTAAACCTGGTGAAAAATCGGGCGTGAGGATTAAGATAACTTTTAGGAGCGGGGTGCTTAGCGGTGGGGTACGTATGTACCCCAAGTACGTATGCACTTGCTTGTCAGTTTCCGCGTCCACGTGCCAAAGACAAGTTCCTTCCTCCCCCGCGTTCAAAGCCTGAGCCCTTAAAAAAAATAAATTAAAAACGCGTTGATTACAACAACAGAAGGGGAAAGGCTTGAAAACCACGGGAACGCAAGCTCGAACACCTCGGAATCGAATCAGGCTCAGCAGGAGGTGATGGGAAGGAACACTGTCTGCGTGTCCTTTCCTGCATCCTGTGTTTGAAAAGAAAGATGCTTGCCAGCCCGCTGTGCAAAGCGGAGAGGAGCGGGAGTACAAAAGGGCTGGGCACGATCCGACCGCGGATGGGCGCGTCTAAGGCCAATGAGCAAGTCCCATACTTACTCACTTGCTTCTGAGTACGTATGTATTAGGACTGTACGCTAAAAAGTCCCACGGGTTACAGCAGAAGCTTTTAAGCTCTTTCTTAAGTCGCATCCGCGGTACCCACTGGAACGTAAAGATGTTTAGCTTCGGCTCTTCCTCTCCATCCCCCTGTCTGCCTCGGCACACGCAAGCCCACCTCCCCTTTAAAAAGAAACCAATGGGTAGGGTTTGTATTAAGTCCCGCACCAGCTTTGGCTCCTCAGCACCGAGCAGGTCACTGTCTGAATTCTCTGCAAAACGGGACTGGTGGGTTGGAGAGGAGATCTACAGAAAGCGCTTGGTAAGGATGCGGTCCTGCGCACCCTCACTCCCCAAAGTAGAAAGGTACAGGGAATGTCAGTTCCCTTGAATTCAGAGCATAGGGTCGGGCAGGCAACTTGTGCCTCTCCCCCGCCAAAGCTGTTGGACTCCAGAGCCCATCAACCGCAGCAATCACGACCAGTGGTCAGGGCTGATGGGAGTTGGAGTCGAACACCAAAATTGGTGGTGTATTTCGAGCTGTAGTGTATTTGATAGTCGACCGCTTAGATAATGCCCGTCTGAAGCGGTATACAAGTATATACAAAAATATTAATAACATCTGGGACAAATAGGAAGGAAGAAGCAGCTGCAGAAATATAAGATGCAGGACACTTGGCTTGCCAGTAGTACATGTGAAAAGGATCCAGGGGTCTTATAGTAGACCATGAGTCAACAGTGCGATGCAGCAGCACAAAAAAGATAATCCAGGCTGCATCAACAGAAGTATAGTGTCCAGATCAAGGGAAGTAATAGTATCACTCTATTCTGACTTGGTCGGACCACACCTGGAATACGGGTCCAGTTCTGGGCGCCACAATTTAAGAAGAATATTGACAAGCTGGAACGTGTGCAGAGGAGGGCAGCCAAGATGGTCAAGGGTCTGGAAACCAAACCTTATGAGGAACGGTTGAAGGAGCCGGGTATGTTTAGCGTGGATAAGAGGAGAATGAGAGATGATAGCCATCTTCAAATATCTCAGGGGCTGTCACATGGGAGAGGGAGCAAGCTTGTTTTCTCCTGCTCTGGACGGCAGGGCTGGAACCAAGGGCTTTTGCAAGAAAGGAGATTCAAATTAAACATCAAGAAGAACTTTCGGACAGTAAGAGCTGTTCGAGAGTGGAATGATTTGAATTCCCTCGGGAGGTTGTGGACTCCCCTTACTTGGAGGTTTTAAAGCAGAGGTTGGATGTCATCTAGCTGAGATTCAACTGTCATCAAGCTGAGATTCTTGCTTTGCAGGGTGGCGGACTAGATGACTCTAGAGGTCCCTTCCAACTCTGCAATTCAATGATTCGATGATCTGGGAGACCACAGGTTGCCCATCCCTGTCTTAAACTATTGATCTTAATGGAACCTACTTCCAAAGTCATTCTGCAGGCTGTAACCCTATGTTTACTTTACAGCGGGGAGCAAGTCCCGTTGATACCAACGGCTCTTCTATCCCATACATAAATGTGTGCCTTGAATGGGGCTGTCAAAACGGCTAGGTCACCAACGGAGAGGCAGGCATTGTAGCCGGATCTGGGCCATACGAACCCAAAAGTGATCCCTCCCGCCCCCCACCCCCAGATGAAAGGGACTTGCTCCTAGGTTCACGACCTTCTTTCGATCCTCGGGACCGACCGATTCATTTGCAGGAGGATAATGACCCTCCCCGCACCAGCAGCGGCAGGTGCTTACCGATGCATTCCCACCCCACACTTTAGAGTAGTGGCGCTGTGTCCCGGACAATCCTTCCGAGAAATGTGGCAATAAATAAAGATCCGGAGCAACTCGGCGCTGGAGGCGGGAGGTGCGGGGGGAGGGTGTCGGAGGATGGAGCGAAGACTTTGATGCGCCTTTGAAGCCGACGCAACCCCGCACCCCACCCCCAGTGGCTCCGCGGGGAGAGGAAAAGGACTCGGCGTTGCAGAATCCGACCGCCCCTGCAGGCGATGCGGGAGGGAGGGAGGGAGCGCGCGAGCGCCGAGCTCTGCCTGGGATTGTAAGGACTTTATCCTCAGATGACTCCGCGGCCGCCTCCGCCTCCCTGCCGCCGGCTGCGCTTTCCTTCTCTCTGCTCTCTCTCCCAGGGCGCTTGCTAAGATGATTTTATAAAACCCGGTTCAGTGGTTATTGGTGTATCTTGTTAAAGGAGGGAGAGGAAGGGTTTTTTAAGGAAATATTTCTCTCTCTCCCACCCCTCTCAAGTCAAATCACCTGCTTCACCTCCTCCACATGTTTCAAACTCTCCCCACCCCCAAAAATATACCCCTCCGTTCAAGACTGCTTCAAACGTCAGAGAGACCGGTGGCACGGTGCGTTCCAGGTTCAATTCCCGGCACCTCCAGTTAGGGCTGGGAGAGCCCCCCGTTTGAAACCGTGGATTGCCGCTGCCAGTCCGTGTGGGCACTGCGGGCTGGATGGACCAGTGGTTTGACTCAGTATAAGGGGGTTTCTCCTGCAACCCCGTGCCTCCCGCTGCTGCGGAAGCGAAATGCTTTCTCCCGCGCGCGGTCACTTTTTCTCCAGGTTCAGACTCTTTGCGTAAAGAGAACCCGCGCAGACCCGCGCTTCTGTGCCTATTCCTACGGGGCAAAATCCACAGACCCCTTTATGTCACTGGGGAGGTTGGACGACCCTATCTTGATATGTTTGCTTGTTGCACTTACACCCCGCATTTCCGTTTGAAAAACAAACCCACAGAGGCTAGCCGTAATATAATCCAATATCGCAAATAGTCTCAATGCACATAACATAATACAATTAAAAACAACAACGACGCCATTCACTTCAACGGGAGAGATTGACGTGGCATGATCCTATACATGTCAGCGCAGAAGTAAATCGCTTTGAGATCAACGGGATTTATTTCCATGGGAGTGTGTCTGGGATTGTAGCGCTTCTCTTGAAATGTGAGGCAGCCTTAATTTGTGTTTGTCCTTAATATTCATTGAAGATTTAATTCGCAACGTGTTGCGCGGTCCTGCTGATGACCGCTGGCAGGTATGCGCCTCTTCCAAAAAGGCACGCAGCCCGATCCTAGGTATATTGTTGACTCAAAACCAATGGGATTTACTTCCAGGAGAATGCGCCCCGGGTTACAGCCTTACTCGGATTACAGCCTCGCCTACTCTTTCGTGTGTTTAAGATTACAACCTTCGTTCAGTTGCGGTGGAATAATCGCTTCGTGGAAAGAAGGGACCCTTTTCTCCCTTAAAAAAAAGAAAAGAAAAGACCCCAACCATCAGTGCTCTTGCTAAATGGTGCTTGCAAGCTTCCTAGGAGTTTTGATCTCCAATAATCTGTGTGGGATGTTGGGCGAGGAGGGAGGGGTGGCCGAGGAGCCGCGTCCTCGTTAAAAGTTTATTTGCAATAAATGGAGTTCGGCGCGGGATCCATTAAAACATCCCTTTAATGTTTTCTCCCCGCCTCTGTCAAAACGCCCAGTTCTCCGAGATCCTATATCTCAGACTCAGAAAGATTTTGTGGCTTGTTAATCGCACCTGTCTTTCGTTTGCAGTTGTGCCCTTAGCCAAAGCGTTTTAGAAGTTCCGAGTCTGAGCGTTTATGTTTATTTGGCGCGCGCGCGTGTACCTCCTTCCAATTCTAACTTCTCCGTCGCATTACTATTTATTTATTATAAGATGTTTGGATCAGGGCGAGTGTG